TGTCGAAGTATCTTGGCAGTGAAGACATGCTCGAGCCCAGTTACGAACATCTTTGTTTACGCTTGGTCAAACGAACCGCTCGGGTACCAGTTTTAAAGGTTCCGGAATACCAGGATGAGACAGTGAGTGAAGAATGTACAAGACTGCGTCTGTAAGAGGCGGGCACGAGGGGTCTAGTACAACCGTTTGACGTGTCACAAAGGATAGGCCCGTCGATAGTTTGAAGAGGTACGGGTTGCGCATGCAGAGAAGTCGACTCCAGGGTGCGTTGAAGGTCTTCGTCTTGAGCCTGAGCCGATGCCATGGCGTCAAGATCGATAGTAGTTATAGAGTGGAGAGTGAGGTTGACGCTAGAGAGAGCGTCAGCGACTGGGTTGGCGACACCTGAGACATGACTTATGAGACTTATGGCTTATGAGACATGACTTATGTGAACTGCGCGACAAAGTTTAGACGTTTAATTTCCCGTGGTGGCTATTTATCGGAAGATGAGTTAAAGGCGGAAATGAAGGGCTTGTGATCAGTGTAGATCGTGAAAGCCAGGCCTTCTACTGTGTGTCGGAAATAACGAGTAGCTTTGTAGTTGGCAAGCAGTTCTCTACCCAAGGTGCTGTAGCGGGATTCCACTGGTTGCAGGCGTTTTGATAAGGAACCGGATGGTTGTCACTGCCCACCAACGTGGTGTTGGAGAACAGCTCCTACCTCAATGTTTGATACGTCAGTTGTCAGAAAGGAGAACAGACGCTTTGGAGTAAACGAGACGAGCTCTGTTGTAGGTGGCATCCTTGAGCTCGATGAAAGTCCCGTGCTGTGTCGGTTAAAGCAAACTTACCTTCGTTTCCTCTGAGGAGGTCAGTCAGAGGCTGTGTGGGTTGATTGCGGCGGGGGATGAAGCGTCGGTATTAGTTGACTAGACTACAAACTTGACGGAAGTGTTTAAAGGACGTCAGAGCTGGAAAGTCTTTAATAGCCTGGATTTTGTCTGTATGGACCTCGATACCAGATGATGAGATGAGGTGGCCTAGGCATTTGCCAAGTTCGCGCTTAGTCGGATTTATGGTGATGCCATGTTGGGTCAACCTCTGGAAGGGAGACTGAAGATGAGCTAAGATCTCTTCGTCAGACGAACTGACTACTAGGATATCATCGAGGTATGGGTAGGCTACATCAAGGCGACGGGTGACCTGGTGAATGAAACGCTGAGATGTTCATGTGGTATTGCACATTCCGAAAGGCATTTTAAAAAAGTCGAACAAAACGAACGGGGTAATGACGGCTTTTTTAGGTGTCTTTTTCCTCCACAGATATTTGGTGTTAGGCTCGAACGTGGTTGATCTTGTTGAAGGCCGTCTGACCTGTGAGACGTCCAGTGAGGTCCTGCATATGTGGGATGAGGTAACTGTCGTGGATCGTAAGTTTGCTTAGTGTCCGGTGGTTACCGCAAGCACGCCAGTCACCAAATTTCTTTGGGACCTTCTGGAGTGGAGCACGGACTATACTAAGAGCGCATTATTCCAAGTTGGAACCTGTGCTCAAATTCTGCTTTAGGTAGCTTCAACGCTGGCGTGAAGAGACGGACTGGCCATTGGTACGGATATGGGGCGTCACCTGAAATGCCACGGTGAGAGTTGCATTCATTGGCTAAACGTGCTTAGGGTACTTAGAGAAAAGTTCTGCGTAATCGAGAGAGCTCTGTTGTCGAGCGTAAACTGGGGTGAAGGCTGAGATGCCGGCGTTGGTGCCAATGGCGTTGCGCGTCGTTGCGGGGTCGTCTATTCTCTGTTGTTTCGCATCGATCGAGAGGTCGAAGTGTCTGAAGTATTCGATGCGAATGATGGCAAACGGGACGGTGGTAATTATGGACAACCAGCGACATCTTCTCGGAGATCTAACTTAATGCTTAAAGAGCGTTGGCCGAAGTAGGGATGGATCTGTTATTGGCAGCATAAAGACTGAGAGAAGACGGCTGAGTCGCGTCCTAGGTGCGGTAGGAACAATGATCATTTCCTTCCCAGTATCAACCAGGAATGCGGTTCTAGAGTGGCAGTCCTGAAGGTAAAGTAGGCTTATTGCCGGAGATGTGACCGGTGACGTTATTGATATGTGACTTGCTGCTTCATAAGTTCCCCGATTTAGTCTAGAGGATGGTGCAAAGAGTAGTACATCGCTTCGCATGAGGGCATTTAGCTTGCCAGCAATTATCAAACGCCCGTTTCACGTAAATGCATGGCATTAAGGGACTTGGCATGGCACACCTGCATAACCTCCCCGGATGACCATATCTGGGATGTCTACACGATACAAAGGAACCACTGTGTCAAATTCGTCCGGGAGGATAAACTGAAGAATCAACAAGATCTAGTGGAAAAGTTTTACTCCAATCCCAAACTGCTATACAGGCACGTAAACAATTTGCGTCGTCTAAGAAATTTAAAGCACTGAGTTCCCTTTATCATTTTAAATAAGACAAAGAGAAGACTGGTATTGCGAGATGGAACCATTTCGTGTTATCTGCTCACTCGCAAATCAACAACATAAAGATGATTTTTCTGTCACGTGATTCATCTTTATGTTGTTAGTTTGCGAGTGAGCAGCTAACACGAAATGGTTCCATCTCGCAATACCAGTCTTCTCATTATCTTATTTAGAATTTGCGTCATGTTAAGCGCGGTATTCCTGCTCTGCGCACAGCATGCGGGTTAGCGCAAATCGCACAAGTCGAGGCCAACGTTCTTGGACAACAATTTGGCCGTACCTTCTAAAGCGTGCAATCACCATACATCCTGCCTAAGCAGATAACACGGCCATCAGGGTTTAATCACATATCGTTCACCTCCGCAGCTGTACTGAAGAGGCTGATGTTTGCGCGAGTTCAGCTCCGCGGTTGCGGACGGCATTCGCCCAAGGCGTTGAAAGTTGCTGCCATGAGTTTGGCGGCGCCACTAGCAATTTTCTTTCAACGACGTCTGAACGAGATGCACGTCCCCACGATTTGGAAGCATGGAATCATCACGTCAATCTACAAAAGTGGCAGTTGTGCCGAACTAGCAAATTATCGCCCGATAACACTACTTCCTGTGATCTCCAAGGTTATGGAGTCCATTGTAGCTGAGACTTTGATGGGGTACCTAGAAAACAACAAAAATCTCGTACCGGAGCAGCACGCATTTCGCCAAAATCGCTCCTTTACCACTATTTTGTTGATTGCTTGTGCAAGCTGGACGGAATCTGTGGACGCTGTTGTATGAGTCGACGTGGCCTACTTGGATTTCCCAAAGGCATTCGACCGTTTAGACCATCGCATTCTCCTCCCCAAAACTCCAGAAATAGGGAACCGACGGTCCTGTTCTGGGCTGGATAGGAGACTTTCTCGTGCAACGTCACCTGAATGTGAGGGTTCGAAGCAACCTGTCGGAATTCGTCGAAGTTCATTGCGGCGTACCTCAAGGCTCGGTACTTGGACCCCTCCTGTTCTTGGTTTTCATAAATGATCTCGCGAGTGTGCTGTCTTCTAACTGTTTGCTATTCGCTGATGATCTAAGGGCATGGGGTACTATAGCTGCAGTGGAGGATCACACAGTGTTACAGGAGGACCTGGACAAAGCGTACACATGGTCCATCGAGAACGTGCTGCATTTCAACGTCACCAAGTGCAAAGTTATCAACGTAAGGCACAAGAGTGTGCACAAGTACCGCCTAGGACCACAAATTCTACAGCGGGCTTCTCACGAGAGCGATCTCGGCGTGCTAGTTCAAGATGACCTCGGTTGTTTGAGGCAGACTAAAAAGGCGTCAAAGAAAACAAACCAGTACCTCGGCCTTCTTCGCAGAGCTTTCGGGAAGTTTGGCCCTTCCGTTTTTCCAAAAATGCTTAGTGCGTACGTGAGGCCGCACGCGGAATACGCTATTCAAGCGTGGCCACCCTGGCTCAAGCACCATCTCACCGCTCTCGATAGTGGACAGCGTAGGGCAACGGAGAGCGTCAGAGTTTGACCAGCCTCCCCTACCCACTCAGGCTGAAGACTCTCAAAATATACAGTGGACGTTATCGGCGACTAAAGGGTGATCTCATAATGGTGTACCTGATCCTGTGAAACCCCAACCACCCATGCCATTCCCTTCTGGTACTCAATCAAAACACCCCGGTAAGAGGTCATCTGTTTAAGGTGATCACCCAGTACAGCCGCCTGTAATGTCGGTGAAACTATTTCTCCCTTCGAGTGTCACAGCCTTGGAACGCCCTCCCGGAACATGTAATTTTCAAAAAACGCCTTGACGATACTCTGTCCATTCTACACTACACCAGATGCTGGCACTAATGCACCACAGACAGTGGATAGTGCCATAACCCTACTCGAAAATGAGTCACTCCAAACCGCTTACACAAAATTTGATGAACGCTATTACTATAGAAACTGGATTTCGGTATCCCATCGACCCAAGATAGTTGCAAACGAGTAAGCGTTGTCCTTGCTATTTTTATTTTTTTCTCTCGCCTATTATGTGGTCATTAACCAATCCCCTTATGGTTTCGTGTGCGTACATTACAATTTCAAACCCCTTATACGGCAGTGCAGTTAAATCTGTAATCGCCTTAACCGACGATTCCATTATCCCTTGATCTATCTATTCTCACTCTAAACACCCTACGGGACATGTCAAGCACCTGCTTTTTCCCCGTTATAAATCATTGTTCATTGTTTATATATCACAATGTTTTAGGCAGTATACTCTAATCGACTTTTATCCCGGGTTATATGTTATTCAGTCTAAATATTTCAGACAGGATTTTTGTTATACAGTTAGGGTGCCATTCTTTTCCTCTTAATGGTCATCATTTGATCAATTGCAAGTAGCAGTTCTGATTGTATTCGCCACAATCCACAACGTTTCGTCTAAACTTTTATTCTTTTGTGCCTTGTAGCACTGTCAAGTTCTTGTTCTCCGTTTCAGAAAAGCGGCCTCATCAATGCAACTACTGTGAGAAAGCGTTTTCTTTTATGAGCGGTCTCCGACTCCACGAGCAGTCTGTTCACCTGAGTGAGTAGATTGTTGAATGCATCGCTCTGTCGCAACCTTTTTTCTTTGGTCTTACGTTTTGGATATATTGATGATATATTGACGAATGTTTGGAACCAATGTAATATGCGATTCTTTTCGTATGCATTCCGTGTGTACTATTAGGCTGCTTCTATATCAGGTAATACGCATCACAAGCTGTCCCAATGCGTTTCGACATAGTTTAATTGCCTTTGACGTAGATGTTACTCACCACTGTGTTATGTTTTTCCAGAATCAACGGTCTAATTTGGTGCCCTGTGCTCGATCTTGAAACATGTGGTCAGTTTGCAGTCATCATCTGCTGTTGTCTTCTACATGGGAATATAGACATTGGTCGGTCGGTGGCCGAGTGGTCTGCACACCTGCTGGAATCATAACGTCACCGGTTCGGATGCGCGTAAGGGCGGGCGTCCTCTCGGTTTGCTCGGCCCACGCGGGGCTGGTTGTAGTCGCGCGGCAGCGAAGCGCCGTTACGGTTTACTGTTGACTCGTTATTCGACGTGTGTTTATGTCGGTACTTGTTTCCTGGAAATTCCGCCTGCTTTCATTCATGTCATTTTGTCATGTCATTTTGGCAGACGATGATCTATCGGGACCGTGCCGGGAATGAATCTTTTCAGTCCCTTTTATGAGGGATGCCCTCTTTGAGTTATTCATTCACTCGCATCTGCCTGCTAGTTTGTTATTGTTGAAATTGCCTCTTATAATACCCAGCTTTCAATGTTTGTCTCTCGGTCGACCTCGAATCGTGTATTAATTCGTTTTTAACTGTGGTGCTGTAAGATACTTCAGACACACAATTAGACGATTGGAGAAACGCAAAGCAGGATATTTTGTTGTGGCTATGTGAAGATCTATTAACAGCTCTATTTTGGAACACCTTGTTCAGTTTGTGACCACAGACACCTTCAAAGTTTTCTACGTCGTTTCGAAACCCAACTCGACCAGCCTAATGCGTCTCGAATTGTGCACGCCGTTGGGGGGCTGTTGCGGACCATCCTCCTGCCATGTTCCTAACTTTGGGCGTGAACGCTGTGCTCCTCGATCACGGGCAGTGACTCAGTTTGCCCCTTCACGAAATCGGCCGGATTAACCGTTGTGCAGAGTGTGCGCATGTGGATGTCCGTGTATGAGCATGTGCGCGACCGTCATCATGGATTGCGTTTGAACTGACAAACAGTGGCGGTTGTTTGGGATCAGCGAACTATGGTTTAGCTTTGTAAGTCTGTTGGAACGCTTTAACCAGTGTATGGCTTGATGAGATCTATTGAAGCGAAAATTTTCACTGTATAGGGAAGGCTGAGACTATTACCGAAAGCTTTACCTGCGTTGGTGGATCACGACTCCTCTTTGTCGAATGTAAATAAATAAACAAATGTCGTTCTAAACCTAGTAGATCGACCGTTCATTACTGGGGCACCGGTTCTTTGTCTCAAGCGTAACTACGAAGTAGTTTTATGAAACGTTTGGTCATCCTAACACGTTGCAGCCATGGTAGTATGCGTGTGTCACAAAAACTGACGTTTTGTACTCTAAGTACAGTCTCTCTAGTTCGCAGGGCTGTGGGGATCGAAGAAGTGACTGATATACTCATAGTCACTGGAATGATCTGAGAGGCAAAAAAGTAGCTACTTGAACGCTACTGGAGCAGGCCACACTGTTGGTCACATCAACAGTGAGGTTTCCTCAATGCGACTTTACCGATCGGACTTTCTATGGAATGCTGTTAGCGTTCCATGAAGATCTCGTTCTTCCTTATACATTCTGAATCATGGGGACAAAACAAGATGTTCGCAATCCCCACATCAACTCGTCTTTGCCAGCAGATTATTTTTCATCTATATCCCTCATAGCGAGGTAACTGGAAATTGGCAGTTGAAGCCCAGCACTACCATTGTGTATCGCAGTACAGGTACCTCATTCCAACCGATTTTGCAGTTTTTCCCCGTGTGAATCGTCTTTGATTATTCCCTTTTTGTTTCCAATTCCAGGAGAACGCCCACATGCGTGTGTCCACTGTGGTAAATCGTTTCCCAGGAGGAACCATTTGCAAAGGCACATTAGTTCTGTTCATTTGGGTGAGTGCCACTGATGTGCCACCGATGTTGTATCATTCTCCATGATTTCATTCGGATTTCATCCGAATGAACATTGTATTCTTTTCACCTTGAAGCTAAATGTTATTGTGTAAAACTCTATTTCTCACCCCGGTTAATTTGCCGTGGACCGAAAGAGCGTCGCATCGCTTGACTTTAATTCATTGGCCTCAGATGAAACGTTCTTATGTATGTGTGTTTATTTATGTGCGGCGAGATGCTAACTGATCTTCGACCCGATGCTGCCAATGTTGTTCCGTGCACTCATGTCCTGGACACCACGTCATGGCGACCGCTGCGTGGGAGTTCGGTTGCACTCTTCTAACTGAGAGCGAGGACGCCTAATTCCGCTTGAATCGGTTCACGGACTCATAACTCACGGCTCGCTGCTTTTCGCAGTACATTAAATCGAAGGCTTTGGCTTGGTTGCTGCTCTTAGTAAACATCGGAAATTATTCTGTTTGATACGTGTAAGAGACAGAAGGACACCTGGTGTTTGCGAAACCATTCGTGCCGAGGGTGGACGACCGATCCACAGTTTGTTGAAACGCTTTGATCGTTTACCTGAATAGTGATAAGCAACTTAACCAACTGGAGTTATCAGCTTATCCTCCAGCCATTGCCGGCCCGTGGTCTAAAGGTAACGAGCTTGTCTTGTAATCTGATGGCGCGCGTTCGAGCCTGCGTAAAGGCAGGGCTACCCTCGCAGTATCCTTAGCCCACGTGCGACCGTTAATGGTTGCGCATCAGGGAAACGTCGGTACTGCATACCGGCATACTGCTGATGCCTTTTCGGCCATTGATCGTCCTTCTCCGTGGGCAGTCCCTATGGACCCGCGCAGAAGTCGGACGGCAATTGGGGGGTGTTTCTTACTTTCAGCTAATGTACAATGATGATGCTGAGGACTTTGGCTGATTACTCGAATCGTTCTCCTCTGCATGTTAGACGCTCTAGCGAGATACTAATCCAACAAGTAGCCATGAATTACGTCAATACTAATGATCTTATGCTGCGTGATATAATGGTGTTGAACGGTTCACTCGCTTTTCCTGCATCTAATACGCTACGCGGAATTCGTTCATTGCTCACGTTGTGCTCCCACCATGCATGAGCTAAGCTGCGAAGGTAGCGATGATCGAACGTGATTGGTCCCATTATGTCTGTCGACCTTATGCGCCAGGTTCCCCAACCGTATAAGTGGGTTGAACGAACTGCTGCATCATAAACTCTGCCTTTCAGCGCGTGAGTGTTGTCGCGTCTGCGCCATAGGTGGCGGAGATTTGAAAAAACAACTCGAGCTTTTGCCATACGGTTAGTAAGCTCATCTTCGATTCCACGGGCGCTAATATAGTCGCCTAGGTACTTGAATTCCTGAACGACTTCTAGCTGTTCGCCACCAACAGTCAGCGCAGGTGTGGGTCCCTGCCAATCTTCTATGGACCAAGGCATAGTGCAAAACGATTGACAAAAAGTGTTAATCGGTCCAGTGATGCTTGGCACATTTGTGAGCTGTCACAGATGAGGGCAATATCGTCCGCTTACTCCAAATCAAGCATTCCCTCACCAGGAAGTAGCTCCACACCTTGGTTGTGTCCAGCGATTGCTGTTTCCATGACTTCGTCAACTGCGAAGCTAAATAGGGACTATGACAACGGGTAACCTTGTATCACACCACTGGAGATACTGTAAGGTGGCGACAATTTGCCATAAATCCTCACTGTGCCCGAACTATGCGCGTACTGCGCTCTGATAGCGTTTACTTATTTAGTATTGTGGGTTCCTTGCAGCCAGTTCCAAATTAGATAGTCGTCCACATGTCCGGCAAAACACTAGACTGCAGTTTCAGCCTGTTGGGCATCCTCATTAGTGCGCATCCGTCGGATCCAACAGGATTCGAACCCACGACAACCAGCAGCTTGCGCCGCCAGCCAGCAGCTTATGCCACTGGGTCACGGGAAACAGCTTCGGACCGTCATGATTTGAAAGCTAACCGCGATATAGCGCGTCTTATCCTCCACTGTCATGCAAATTACGAACGTTGCAGAGGAAAGGCTTGGCCCCGAAAGACACTACGTTCACTAACACCAGCGATGTACAATATAGCATTTCGAATCTGTCAGGGCGGATATATACTGATGTAGTCATTAGTAGGAGATTTTGATATAATGTCTTGTGGGTTCGTCGCACCCAGTTCCAAATCAGATAGTTTACTTATTTATCGAACACACCTTACCTCAGCAGACAGTCCCAAAGCGCACATCACCCAAGCGAATCGAAGGCACCTTTTATGTCGAGAAACACTACAATGATGACGGTTCTCCAGCAACTGACGCAGCATGAAGATGTGGTTGATGCAGCCCGGACCTCGACGAAACCCGGCTTGTTCTTTAGGGATTTGGCTTTCACGAGTGCCAGTCGGTCTGTGGAGAAAGACAGACGCTAGCAATTTCGAGGCAATTGAAATCAGACTGATCCGTCTGTGATTGCCCCATTCCGAATGGGGAGCCTCCCTTGAAAATTGGGACTATGACGGAGCGACACCAATCTGTCGGGACAGTTTCCTGCTCCCGAAGTTTCGCTAGCAACTCATGTAAATCATCTACATGAGCATATCTCCCGAATTTGAAGAGGGCTGGGGGAATTCTATCTGCCCCTGCGGTAGGCGAGGCGCTTGCTACTCCCTCCGGTAAACCTCATTGAAAAACGACCGACTACCAGAGCATGATCAGGGTCGACGCAGGTATTTCAAAACGAGCAACAGTGCAGTGTGGAACCTCGCTACCCGTAACTTACGGCAACGTAATCAATTTAGGTCCCTTGCTGGCTAGTTATATATGAACATCAACTGGCACTTCGGCGCCCACTGTGTTTCAAAGCGGTTCTGCTAAAAAACACCTTGTCCTCCGCACATCGTTACAACAGCTGTTCGCCGTTGTCTGTCCTGTCGGAGTTTAGTCCATATGTGCTACCGATTTGAGCTTCAGTAGAGCTCAGACGACCTACTTTCGTATTCATATTCACGGACAGAACACCTGCGGCGTTGCATAAACCAAGCTGGGCGTGACTCCGGACTAATCATGCTTGAGATGGACCGTTCGCGACAGACAAACGGTGCGTGCTGGCTAATGTACGTGAGAGTCGGTGACGGTGTAAGTGGTCCCGTGGTTTTTTAATAAGGGGTTTTGATCATTTTCGGGACTTGGTTTTGACAATCGTAGAGCTACACGACACAGTATTATCACCTAAGTTGGGAATGATGTTTCCACACGACCGATGTGCAATTGCTTCACCTGTTATCGAAGATATTGTGGCTTTTAAAATATAGGATATCATCCTATTAGTCAGGGATAGTGTTTGCAAAGTGTGTCAGAAGTATATTCGATTCGCATTGGAAACAATAAGCAAATAGTAACCTGTGGTTATGGAGTATTTCTAATGTCAGGCGGGAACACCTGGTTCTCAATACTGATGTCCACCGGTTGGTACCGCATTGGGGTGTTTGGTAAACTTGAACCTTTTAAAGTCAGCTACGTCGTCTGCGCCGTGTACACTTTTATTGCCTTCCATACTACGCCTGGACGAAACGGTGGGGTGGGCAGTCGGCGACGTGGCCTATCTGCCAGTGCCTACATCCTGCATGTGGATCACGGGACTGGCCACCTCATAGTTTGGAGTCCTTGACCGACATTTCGATTCGTTTCTACTATCAGCTTTCAGTTTTTCCTACTTGTGTATTCCGTTGGATATGTCACCGATGTAATCATAAGAATATTTACGTTGACTGGCTACTAATTACACCTCATATTTTGCTTTTTTTGTTCATATTCTACTCATCTGATGTTCTATTGTTCTGTTCCAGAGCAAAAAGCCCACTCCTGTGAGTACTGTAAGAAACGTTTTTCTGAAAAGTATCAACTCCAGACTCACTTAAATTGCGTCCACTTGAGTGAGTGCAGCTTTGACTGCTTGGTTAGACTGTTCCTTTTTCTACTTTTAGATATTTTATCTTTGGATGTGCGACCAGCCATCTGGATCATACCTTTCATAACTCGCCGTCTTACTAGCCACGCCAATCCATTTTATTAAAATTCCATCTCCAAATTCACTTGGAGCATATGTTGCCGTGAACGTCGAGCTTGGCGCTCAACTTTTCAAATATGATTTTGTTAATACCGATAACATATAAATCGATGGGATTGTTTCTGCCACTAGTGGCTCCCAAAATCTTGAGCAACAACGGGGTTTGAGGTGCATGTTGGTCACCGCAAATTTAATCCATGCGATTTTCGTATGAAATCCGTCAGAGAGCGCTGCGAACCAATGTCAACTCCTATTACTGTATTTCTTTGACACTGATGTGGTTTGTTTATTAAGTGGATGTATCACCAAATACTCGTCAGTTGCTTGTAATTTAATCATCATCCGTTTTGAACTGGAAGCACCATTGAGGACATTCTGTACTTGTAGGTTGGGCTCATATTGACAGATGTTTGCTGCTCGTGGTTGTTCTGCGCTTGGCTGAGCGACTCTAATCATTTTATCGACAGAAATCAGCCTGAGATTGTGTTCAGAGCGGAAGGCCGATTCCTCGGCGACTGGGCACCTCGATTGCTAATGGATGATCACCCTGTCCTCAGCCGATATTAGCGCATTAAGAAATCGACAAAGGTTGCTTTATCAACACAGTGTGCATCTACAACTCTCCGAAAGCAGCAGCCAAAGATATCGTAATTATCTCTTCGGCTTTTGAATTCGCATCGTTGTTACCACACGGTCTAAAGATAATCGCTGGCGATGTCAATCTACCGAATATTACTTGGTCACCACAAACATCCTCATCATTGCACATATCTTTCTTATCGACTATCAGATTTGGAGGCTGGACTCAGTGGGTTACCGGACCAACTAGGTCTGCCAACATACTGGATTTAATCGTCACTCTGGGGATTCATGACGCACAAATTGACATCTTAGGCAACCTTCCGGGTAGTGACCACAACATGCTACGCCTTTTTATTCACTTGGGAATGAATACCAAACTCGACTCACCTACCCAGCATGCTATACGAAGGATTGACTGGGAGCATTTCGTAAAGCAGAACTGGTCCTCTAACTGGAATGGCTTCTTTCTCTCCACTAGCGCCCACATTGCAGTGGAACATTTCTACTACCAGATCAACTACATCCTAACTGTACATGTCTCGCATACTAAACCTGCCATTCCTTGTTCTATGAATCTAAGTGCCACTCTGAATGACTTGAAAACGAGAAAACTACTGGGGAAATTTAGAAAAACTAGAGACTTCTCACTAATATTACAGCTGCACGAATCCACCGTCTGCATCGAGCGATCACAAATGAAATGGATTGAAAAGGAAGAGGAGAACGCCTTGCAGATGACATGCAAAGGAAAGGAACTGACCAAATTACTCCTTCGTAGGGCTAACAATCCAATGTATTTGCTTACAGAACTTATTGATGAGGAGGGTCGCCACCTTTACGATCTAACTGCTATTTTTGAAGCGTTTAGCACTTTTTTCACTGCTTCCCTGAACGTAGAAACCGACTCTATACCTTGCTACCCGGAACTTCCAACAAGCGGCATAGATAATGTCGAGATTTCTCTTTCGACCATCCAACAGGCTATGAAGTTCATCAAACCATCACTCAAACCAGACTCTGACGGCATCCGCCCATCAGTTATTAAACTTGGTGGGCCTGACACATCACTGATTTTGCTAAATATGTTCACCTTTTCTTAGAATCTAGCTACTTTCTGGATCAGTGGAAAACATCGTTTATTGTTCCTCGTCATAAATGGGGACCCAAAGAGCACGTCACCAATTATCGACCTATCCATCATACTCCCGTCGTTGCTAGATTACTCGAAAAATTAGTTAACAGTGGAATCATGGACTTTGTCTATCGTCATGGGCTACTTACCAAATCCCAACATAGTTTCCTCGACAAACGTTCCTGTACAATGTGTCAGCTGCACTACCTGGATTATATCACCGAAGCTATTGATTCGAAATATGCAGTTATAATACTGTTCCTAAATATGCAGAAAGCATTCGACAGAGTGCCCCACAAGCGGTTACTGAAAACAATCGGATCGTTTGGCATCAGAGACCCACTATTTGATTGGTTGGCATCATACCTAAATCGTCGTTACCAGATAGTCACTCTGGGTAATCATAACACCTCCCCACGTCCAATCACCAGTGGTGTCATACAACGGAGTGCAGTTAGTCCTTCGCTTTTCCTACTTTATATTAACGATATCACGGTGTGCCTAAAACATAACAGACCATTTTTGTTCGCTGATGACATAAAGATTTTTTTATAAATTTCGACGAGACAAACTCAATAGCGCAATACTGCTCGTTCAAGAAGACCTCGATTCACTTGAGCCATAGTGCAACATATGGATGCTAAATTTATCAGCTAGTAAATCATGCATTATGTCATATGGCTGTTTAATCCCTGAAGAGTCTGTTAAACTGTACAATGAACGTATCTGCGTGAAACTATCCAACTGTGGTCTAGGCATACGATGCTCTTCAAACTTTTATTTCTCAGAGCAAGCTGAGTATCAAATAGCACGTGCCAAACGATCTGTGGTTAACATATGCCATAAAATCTATACAACCTCTGCCAGACTCGAGTTTTTCAAAATACTTCCACTTACTGTCCTTGAATACTGCAGCATCATCTATGGGTACATGCGAATAGGAGACAGGAAAGCTTTAGAAAACCTGCAAAGATTATTCACTAAGCGCTTGTTCAGTAAATCAATCACCTTGAGTTATCAGGAGCCTTGCCAGCAGCTTAACCTCGAGCCCCTTTGGTTACGACGACTTAAACATAACCTGATGCTGATACACAATCTCATAAACCAAAAGACATACTCCTATCTGTGTACACTTAAAATTCAACATAACTTCACTCGGAATATACACAACCAGACCTGCACATTATGTGTTCCGAGAACCAGGACAGCTATCCAATCCAACTTCTTCCTCGTCCGATACCCTGTCGTATGGAATAGCCTATTAGCCACAGTCAGGTCTTGCGCAAATGCAAGAGCATTCCACATCTAGCTTAGCAAATTCCTTCACCAGAACTCGATACTGACCATGTTTCCATCGGGTAAATCTTCACACGAGTTCTTTCAGGATGGACCAAAGAATATGTAATCAATGATTAAAGATAGTACCAAGAACTCAGCAACAACAAAAGTTACGTGACTCCAAATTATTTGATATCATACACCGCATATTACATATTTCACTCCTGCATGAGCATGATAATTATTGTACCCATGATCTGCCCACAATCCAGGGACAGCTTCTCGTACAATCGGGAAATATACGTATTATTATTATTATTATTGCTCGGTTTTTCGCCGAGCTTGGCAATTTGGTTGCAAACACTTCGTTACCAATCGAGTTGACATCATCAGCACAGAGTAGGATGTAGCTTGGTTGCGTGACCTCGTGCCAATCAAATCCAGGAATGGCATGAGCTTTCACGACGAGGCTACATTCTACTGTGCGCTGATGATGTCACCTCGATTGCTGACGAAACGTTAGCAACCAAATTGCCAAACTCGGCGAACAACTGAGCAAGTAAATTGTCAACCAGAAGTACCAGAATTCCAAATCATTTTGAACACCACTTTTTATTGAGGTGCGTTGAGCGTGCCAGCAGTTATCAAATGGTCTCGTAGGTTGAGCGTTTCATTTGACTTGTGTTCTACCAATCGGCATTATCGAGCCTAGTTTTTTTTAGGTCAAACCGATACCGAGAGAAACGTTACTTGCATTTCAGCATTTCTTTAATGTGATCCGTACGCTTTCAGCATTGTGCTAGCTTAAGGTGGCTCAGCTTTCGCATCGTGAAACAGCTCAGCTTGTTTGTCTGAGCTGGACTTATCCACGTGTATGAGTGTTTCAAACGTCAAGTTGACCATCTGATGGGTTCGTGGTTTCACTTATCGCAATGTGTCAACATGTAACGTCTAATCGATTTTCAATCTCAGTTTATATGTTTTGCAGTGTGTTAGAATATTTAGACGAGATTTTTGTATGCTAACCTTTTTTCTTATTCTTCACCGTTTGAGCAATTCCAGGAGGTCGTTCTGACTGTCTTCCCCGCAACTTGCAACGTTTTCTCTGTAGGGTTCCTTATATTTTTTATGCTCTACGCAGCTGTCAATTTCTTGTTTTCCGTTTCAGAAAAGCGGCCTTACAAATGCAAGTACTGTGAGAGAACGTTTTCTCTTATAAGCAGTGTCCGGGTCCACGAGCAGTGTGTTCACCTGAGTGAGTAGATTGTTGAATGCCTCGTTCAGTCGCATTTTTTTACTTTGGTCGTACGGTAGAGGCTGAATGTCCAGTTGGATCACTTGGGAAATATTTGGAACCAATGGAACGTGCGATTTGTGGTTTCTTTCACTCTGACGATCCAACTGCCTCAAGGAAGTGAAGATTGCTTATGAGTATTGCATGAGCATTTAATATGAGGAAAACAGCTATTGGTGCGTGCTAGCATTAGCTGTGTGGAATGATCACATTAAGCACAGAGATGAATCACGTAGCTATTTGTATGATAGCCGAATAACTATCCCTGTGTGCGACCCTACAGATTCATTGACACTGGCGAATCTCTACGACCCATCAAACGGAAGTAACTGCTCTTTCCAATGATGGTTGGTGGCATCCGGTTTCGGATTTGCCTGTCACTGTGGCCAGCCACAGGACGCCTGCGCCTACAGAGGGACCATGGTGGCTTACGCTGCACCACCCACACAACCCCATATCCAGTGTAAACCCGAAGGAATAAGACCTGGAGACATTTGGATTGAAGCCACGTTTCATCAACAGAGCCGGTCCACACTCCTTGATCGGCAAACACAAGCAAGCTGTATGTGGGAATCAAGCGCACATAAGGCGGTAGCTAGACTATATTCCGCCCCACACTGAGTGCATGGAAGCACCCTTCGAGCCTAGCTCGGCCTCGAGGACGGTGCATCCCGTCCCCTTCAGCAACGACTAACTGTCTCCTGTAGCTAGTATGGACGAGGTAGTGGGTAACAGACAGGTAGGCACCTTGTCAACATGCACATCAGGCGCAGCCACAACGGGGATGTAAAGCGAGAGTCTATTACATGAGACGAAATGGCGAATGAAATCGATCGTATGGATTTGCCGCTAAATTAGCGTTTGAGATGAATGGATTATCAAAACAGCTGTGGTAGATTCAGAATGGCAGAAAAACGGTTCAATCACAAATGTAAGTAGGAGAAAAATGAGCGAAGTTAACCACCTTTAGTTAAAGCGAGTTGCGCAATTTAATAGATAATACAGGTACAATTTGAAATAAGGTAACCAAATGGCACAAATACAAGGTAGCAAACCAACCACAGAACACAAAACTTCGCGGTTAGTAAATCGGTAATAGCGTACCTATTGACGCTGCGCCTGTTCTGCTTACGTTCTCAGTAGGAATCGTCGTTGTTTCCATGCTGGTCGTGAGTGGCATCACTCGTGGCTCACTAGGCCTGCCTGACTCAGGCGCTCGCGATCGCATGTGCTACTGCACCCTGCGCTCGAAGTCGATGAAGTATAGCCCATCGGCGCCTGTCGCTTTCACACTGCACGCTTCTTCTCTGCATGCACGAGCGCTTTCTCTTACACCTCGGCAACTGCCTTCGTAATTGTGTCGAGCCATGCACATCGATCAACCGCCTTTGATGCCCATGGCCTGCGATCAACATTAAAATGTGATAGGCTCACTGTGATCCTGTCCTGGTAACGTAACTTCGCTTTTCCCACTTGCCGTTTCGCTGCACAAAGTTGGCCATAAAGCCGCTGTTTCATAATCCAGGTTGAATTCATTCGGCGAATGTGGCCGAGCGCCCTCAGGTGCCTCAAGAGAATGATGCAGTCCACCGCATACTTGCCTATGGGTTGAAGTGCCTCCGTGTCTGAAACTCGGTCACTCCAGCCGATGCGCATACGACGGCGCAGACACTGCTGATGAAGGCGCTTCAGATATCGCACGTCCGTCCGATAAAGCATCCACGTTTCGCTGCCGTATATAAGAACGGACAGCACCATAGACTTATATAACAGTAGGTTCAACCAAACAATGAGCTGGTGGTTGTTCCACATATTGCATTCCAGCTTGCCAAAAGCCCCAGCCGCCTTCGATACGCGGCTGCGCAGCTGGTTCGCCATCTGCTTTTCGGTTGTTATTAACCTACCTAAGTAACAAAATCTCGAAGTGGTTTCCAACACTGTGTCGGCAATTTAGAGTAGGCTCACGAACTCCATTCCGGGTGCAGGCTGGAAAAGTCAAACAGTCGTGCTTGTGTTGATGGTGAGCCCGAATTTGGGCGCTGTCGCTAGTCATATGCTGCAACTCATCCGCGCTATGTGTAAACAACGCACAGTCGTCAACAAACAGCAACATACGGATAGTTGTCTCACAGACTAGGTTTCTCGCACCGAAACGACGGATGTTCAGCCACGCACCATTAATAACATGCTCCACTCAAACTCCGTAAGCACAAGCCACATCAAAAGAACTAGACATCATGGCATGAAGATATATATCAAACAGGGCAGGAGCTAAGACACAGCCTTGCTTCACACCAGAGACAAATGTAACATCATCGAAGGTCTGTCCACTCAGCTGCACCCTCACCCGCATACCACTGTGCAAACATTCAATTAAACTTACAAACTTACACGGGAAACCAAACTTACCCAACACCAGCCACAATGCCTTCAACTGACGAGCAGCAAACACCATATCGATGGTGCTGCGACCCGAACGGAATCCACATTGCTCTTTTACCACGTTAGGTTCCACAACCTGACTGACGAGGCGATTGAGCAGGATTCGGGCAATTACCTTGCCCACACAACTCAGCAAGTTGATGCCACGATAATTCGTGCAACATTGCTTGCTTCCTTTACACGTATACAGCAGACACCTCCTCCTCAATCGATACGCGTTGCACCAAGTGGTGCAAACATTCACCAACGCGTGTCCACCGTGTTCCAATACTTCAGACGGGATCCCATCGGCTCCGGCACATTTGCCGTTTCGCAGCTGAGCAAGTGCTTTCTGCATCTCATTCAGTGTCGGCGTGTCCGCCAGACTCACCTTCGCATCGTGCTACTTGAGGCCGTTCAATGTAGGCCAGTCGATCTCTGAACGGTTGTTCAAGAGGCAGTCAGTGATTTCGCGAGATCTGCATTATCTCTACAGTCTATGTGCAGGCAGCGCGTGAATTAGCATCGTTTAGCGTTATCATTGGCTGCAACCTGAGTCCATAGATCGCCTTTAACGACTCAAAATTTTCTTGTGTTGGTGGCGTTCGGCGCAACATTCAATCTGCTTCGCCTTCTTCCTCCACGATACATTTTTAATGCGACGGGGCTCTTGACACAGTCTTCTAAACTGACTTGTTCCCCAAGTGTCCGGGGTCTGCCACAGGTGCAGCAAATGCTGCATTCTTTCCCAACACCAATGCGCCAATCGTCACATTGTTCTCATCAAACCAATCGGGCCGCTTACAGTTTGCGCGTCCAATTCTCTCTTTGGCAGCAGCTGTCACCTGTTTTCGCGAATGTGGTGCCACAGGTCGTCCACTGTGGCTTTGCATTCCACATCACACAGTTATGCAGTCATCGTCTTTTCCAGCTGCATACACTTCTCCATAGTGCCGAGGGAGAGAATTTTAAAATTGCATCGATTCATGGCAGGAGTGCAATACATAGATTTACGAAAATATATGTACAGTTTGGTCCGCACTAATTTGTAATCAGTGCCACACTCAGCTCCACGCAGTACACGTGTCATGCGCACTTCGCGCATGTCACGCTAGTGCACGATGATGTAGTTGAGCAGGTGAGCATGACCACTCCGTGTGTGCGTCCAAGTTGCTATATCACTCGCGCTCAGTGCAAACCGAGTGTTCGTGATCGTCAGGCCGTGAATGGCGCACAGTGAGAGCAGCCCTTCACCATTCACATTTGCGGAACCAATGCCATGCGGTCCAATTACAACTGTCCACACCGTTGCATCACACCCAACACGAACGTTGAAATCACCCAGCAGAAATAGTCGGTCGCTCCTCGGAGGATAACTGAATGTAGACTTGATCACGCGTGTCATCAGGATAACACATGATCAGACTGTACATGCTTCTAAAAGTGGCGAACTTGCCTCTCCCTAGTCGTAGGCGAACAGTCATAACTTGCGCGCTGATGCCTGTTAGTTCACCCACCAGCTGGCCATGGAGTCGAGCGGATGTCGCAAATCCGACCCCATGTTCACGTGGTGCTGAGGTGGCGTTGCCCACCCAGTGGAATGTGCAGCCAGCACCTGGTTCATGCAACTTACCTTGCTCAACGAGTATCACGATCTAAGGTGCATGGAGGCTGTAAAGCAGATTTACACGGACATCCGAGATTCGTGGTAATGTTTTGATTTTCAGGCAAGGAGAAAGGGCTAATGTTAGGTTACCAGCGGATTTTCCACCTTCCCTATCTGTAGTTTCCACTGATGGCTGATAAGTTTGATAACGAAATCACTGCTCCCGAAAACGGTACGTGGCCAGTTAGATTGGGATTCTTGCCATTCTAATGATTGACACGAGTCTGGTACAATGCTAGCTTACATCGCTGATCATGGGAGGTAGTCCATAGTTACACAGGGAGATCGACACACAGTTCATGCAGTTCAACCTATTATGGAATCCTTCGCCATATGTTGCGCAATGTGTCCTCGAAATGAATGAGAACCACTCGCTTGAGACAATCAAAAAATCTGGATGATGATACTTTACGCGCTTACAGCTGATTGGGAAATTTCTTCAGGTTATTCTTTAGGTTTTGCGAACACTAAGTGTTCGCATAGCCGTTGTGTCGGACCCAAGGATAACTATGTCATCCGTATACGCAAGGTTTATCAGGCGCTCACCTGACAGTTTCCACCTCGGCGTGGTGATGGATCAGCTGCAGTCTGGACCAGAACGAAAACCTACTTGGTTTTCATTGTTTCGGATCTCAGGAAAAATTGTAAGTCGCCAGTGATTGGTAGTCCTTTTAAGTTCGTAGGCAATGGGGAGAAGGTTAATGCCATTTTGAGGTTTGCATTAAGTCCGTTAACTTTTTTTCCTAATGAGCTGGACGGTTGATAGTCGCCAATCTGTAGGTAGGTCATTGTCTCAAATCTTGTTGAATAGAGCCACA